GAAAAGCTGGTTTATTTAGCTGATAGGTATCTATGGTTTTGTTTTCAGGACTCATTCTATCATAATTTGACTTCTATAAGAACTTACAAGGGTCCATGAGTACAACTTTGATCATCCTGGCAAGTTTTGTTATTTTAACTTGCTATTTTTTTTGATAATTTTTTTTGTTTCTAATCTGGTTTTGTTTTCTTGTTTCTTTTTGTACTTTTCCAGATGCTTTTGATAATGAGAAGTTACTCTCAGTTGTGGAGATGTTGAAGCAGTGGATATTCCAAAATATGACTTCAGAAGTTACAAGAACATCTCTCGAAGGGTTAGTTAGTTCATTTAACATACACATTTCAAAATGTGATTTTTGTAGCTTTTTGAGCATTTGATTGTATCTTTTATTGAACGTATGGCAGGTGAATCCTTCAGTTGTGACAATTTTGGAAGGCATACTGTTTTTTCATGATCCTCATGTACGTGATTTGATGAACATGAAGATCTTTGTTGATATAGGTTCTATATATATAACATCAGCCCAATGCTCAATGCTTTAATGTATTTATCTTTTTTTACTTAATTGTTATTTTCAGTGCAGATGCTGATGTACGCTTGGCAAGAAGAATTAGGCGTGACACAGGTGAAAAGGGAAGAAATATTGGTATGGTTCTTGATCAGGTCAGTTCAAGATCCAAAATTTATATATCTCTACATGAAAATTTATAGTTTCTTTTAGGAACTTTAAAGTGTTTATTTAACTTATATTAATGCAGTACTCAAAGTTCGTGAAGACTGCATTTGATGACTTTATACTTCCAACAAAAAAGTATGCTGACATCATCATACCTCGTGGAGGAGACAATCATGTAGCTATTGATTTAATTGTCCAACATATTCGGACAAAACTTTGACAACATGATTTTTGTAAAATATATCCTAATTTATATGTCATTCACTCAACTTTTCAGGTACCATTTTCTTAAAAAATATATATAATATAACCTTATTTGCATCTTTTTGTTTTCTTCATTGTTATATCTCTATATATTTTTTTTGTTGTGATGCAGATACGTGGCATGCATACACTGATACGTGATGCTCAAACAACAAAACATGATTTTGTGTTTTATTTATATCGTTTGATCCGTTTGGTGAGTTGTATTTTTCAGGGCTAGAAATGTCATTTTGTATGATTATTTGGAAATAACTTTACTCCATTTAATTAGGTGGTGGAGCATGGTTTGGGACATTTACCATTTCCAGAAAAGCAGGTGATAACTCCAACCGGTAAGCCTTTTCTTAATTTTACCATGCAACCTTGAGTTTATTCCCTAAATTTTTATTATCATTAAGTTGATGATTTGTGTAAAAAAAATGCAGGATCTGTATACACAGGTGTAGATTTTTGTAAGAGATTATGTGGTGTTTCTGTTATGTTATTAGAAGGTATTTGTCTTATCTTCAAAACCATAATCATTTCAGATCATATTGTATTTATGAATTATGAGTTTTGGATTGTTTTGCAGTGGTGACAGTATGGAAAATGCAGTGAGAGCATGTTGTAAAGGTATCAAGATCGAAAAGATTCTTATTCATAGAGAAGGTGACAATGGACAACAGGTTTGTTAGAATAGACTAATAGAGAGAGTGAAGTAAGGTTACTATTTAAATTTGTATAATAATTTGAAACAACACCACATTTTTTATTATTATTATGCAGTTAATATATGAAAACTGCCACAAGACATATGTGATAGGCACGTGTTGTTGTTGGATCCTATATACTAGGAACAGGTTAGCTTTGTACTTTTTTTCTCATTTGTTGGAATGCTTTGTGGTAATTGGAAGTAATTTGTTGTGTTGACAGGTAATTCAGCTGTTCAGACAATTTCTTTGCTTTTAAAGAAAGGTGTACCAGAGGCCAACATCATATTCCTCAATTTGGAAGTGTTTTTGTATTTTAATGGTATGTTATGTTATGTTTATATTATTCTGCAAATATCCCTTTTGGATTTGTTTTAAATGGTATATATAAAAAAACCTGTGGAAAATATTAAAACGAAGGCTATAGAGACGACATGTCGTCTGTATAGCTTTATAACTGTAAAAACGATTTTCCCATTCCAGACGACATGTCGTCTGTATTGATCAACTTTTCCAGACGATAAGTCGTCTCTATAGGGTCACACTTTTACCGACGACAAGTCGTCGGTATAGTGTAACATCTTGTTTCGGGCCTTCAGTGGTCAGGGTTCGTGGGCTGCAACCCGGACATGAGGAAGTCTCGGGGTTGCGACGAGTTTCTAAAAGTGTAAGACATCTCGTCACCTTTCTGTGAGTATGAGGTTCTTTGGAAACGGAGTCATAACGAGGAAACGTTGGAAGTTTGAAGTGTTGGCAGGATAAGTCCCTCAATTTGAGAAAGGTGGTAGCTGAGTACGCTGGGCGTACGTGTGTGTACGCTTAGCGTACTCATATGCGTGGTTTTAAAGCGGAGCCACCTAGTATGCTGGGCGTACCAGTGGGTACGCTGGGCGTACTAGGCACAGAGTGAAAACCCTAATTTTGGGTGTGTCCCTATATAAGGAATGGGATGGACTCATTCCTGGCCACCACCCTCAGATTTCAAACCCTCCTAAACCCTAAACCTTCATTCATGGAGTTTGTGGATGCATTTGAGAGCCTTTGAGTGTTTTAAGTGTTCTTGTGAGATTTTGGAGTGGAGAAGGAGCATGGAAGAGAATAGAGTTGGAGTCCAGACTTTGGATCTGAGCTTTTTTGTGGATGGAGCATCATTTGAAGGTATAAAGCTCAAAGCTTTCCCATCCTTTTGATTTTTGCATGTTATGGTCCATTTTAGGGTTTTTGGTCCCAAAGCTTGAAGCTTTATGAGTTGTTGCACTCCAGGGCCTAATGTTTGTCCTTTAGAGTATTTCTAGTGGAGAGGATCCATAAAAATGAGGTCTTGGA